CAAGAAATTGCTTACATACAGGATATAGTTTACGCAGCGAGTAATTTAGTTACAATCCGCAGCACCAAGATAATGGTCTTTGTGGCTCAGAGGTGCCCGACAAAGAATACGGATCCTCTAGGTCAGTTAGCCCTACAGAAAACTTTAGCAATAAAGTACCTCAGTTATCAGTTTAAAAAGGGAACAAAGAACGCTAACTTCAAAGATAAGTTTTAGCTATTTTTTTAAGCCCACTTCCTTAGCAGAAAGCAAGCCCTTGCTCAAATTGCTAGACAAAAGCCCCTGATGAGAACCCAAGTCACCAACCCAGTCTGGGACCCTTCCTCACCTGTTGTGGAGTCTTCCTTTTCTTGATTTAATAACTGCTTTAGTGCGCCTTCATTTATCTGCAGCTCTAATTCCTCATGAGCAGGAGACGGGAACCTGGTCATCTTGTGACCCTGAATCCAGTATGGGCACTGGGCCTGTACACCCCAATATCCCGCATCAAAACTATGCGTGGATTTCAAACATTTTCACACCAAAATAAACTCATACTTCAATTTTGTTTTCCCATGAGCTTTCTGAAGTCCCCTTGTATATATTTTAACTGCAGAAGTGCAACCATTGACATCATCAAAATGATTCTTTAGAAAGGGCGGTGTTGGCTGGCAGGCAGGCAGAACCTGAACTGTTCGTTCCTCGTGGAGATTCAGTATACCAAGAGTGGCCGGGAGATATGTATCTGTTCAACTTTTTTGATTTCAATCAACAGAAAATAATTTCTGCTAACCTAAGCAATAAAGGATTCTATGGAAAAGAAACTGAGTGTCTTGAGAAATTAGAGTTAAATTATGCAATCTCAGGGAAGACCTGAAGCCCAGAAAGCTCTGGAACTGGGCCCAGGAACCAATATAGGAGCCAGGCAACTGGGCCTACATGGGAAAGGGTCTGGGCCTGCATCCTGGGGCCTTCCTGAGCACACTGGGCACTTGCATACATGCCTACTCTTTGGCCTGGCTGAGACTGGGGGTGGACCATGGCATGAAGACTGGTTGAGGGATTCTTTTTCTCTGAAAAAAATTCATAAAAATTAAAAAAAAAAACAAACTTCAATGGATATCATCCTTAGGAACTGCGGTGGCAATAATGAAGCGCCTACCATTTTTTTGTCCATGAATTGTTCACCTCAATTTTCAGATTCTAGGAGGGGAGTCTGTCTGACTTCACTTGGAGTGGCAGAAACCACTGGTTGCTGTGGTAGAGAGTTTATGCTCACTGAGTCTATGCTTCGTGGACCCTGGCATTTCCCAGCCTGCCTTTCAGCTAGTTTAGTGGTTATGTGTCTATTTCTGGCCAATGAAGGGAGGGGGCAGAAGTATTTAATGTAAGTTGCTTCCCAGACATCGTGATTAAGAGCTGGCATGACTCCCCCATCCTTCTATTGCCTGTTGAGGCTGCCTGGCAGGCATTCCAGATGACACGAACCCCTCCTTACCCCTCTCACTGGACAGTAAGCTCAGGAGGACAGGTTCCTAACTGCCCCCCGACAGTTATTAGCTGGGACAGTTAATACACAAACAACCCCTGAAGTTCTGTGGTGCTCTTTTTCTTGTTGATATGGTCCCAAAGTGGACCATGAACATCTTGAAGGCAAGAGCTGAGTCTCATCCAACTTCACATGCCTACTGCCTAGTGCAGTGTTGACACCTGGGAGACAACCAGCAATGTTTGCTTATGTTTGGATGAAGGGAAGAATAATGGGATGGATGAATATATGGATGAATTGGTGCGCTGGAGGGCAGTTGTGCTCCAGTCTGTAAACTGGTGTTTGTTTCAATGTATTGGGTCACTGGAAAAGTCATGACACATTTTTGCATAAAAAAAAAAATAAAACATCATGACTTTTCAGATGACCCAATATGTTTTTCTTTTTTTTGGGGGGGGGGGTCAACTTACGTATCTTGGAGAAATTGGAAAACTCAAGGCAGCTCAACATTGGAAATTTTTTGGCAAAAAAAAAAAAAAAAAAAAAAGAAAAGAAAAGAAAAAGAAAACATTAAAATGACTTTGAGAACCAGCAGTTAGCATAATGGCTATGTCGTTGAACTCCCATGTAGTTGACCACGGTTCGCGTCCCAGACCCGGTGGCTTAAACTCACGCCAGGCGCGTGTGCGTGCGTGCCCAAGATCCCAAGAGGAGAATGGAGGAGAAGGGATTGCGGCGTGACCATCCCCCCTGGGGGGTGATTTCTCGCTTTCTGTCTCTCTGTCTCTCTCTGTCTGGCTGGCGAGCGCACGCGCCCTATAGCGAAAACCTCTCAAAAAAAGAAAGAAAGAAAACATTGGAAATCCAAGCAGTTGGTCCCTAGTCACCATTGGATAAGTCACATCATGTCCACTGTCCAGGCCCTGCGAGCTTGGGAGCCTTGTGAGCCTCTGACTCACTCTCTCTCTCTCTCTCTCTCTCTCTCACACACACACACACACACACTCCCCATACCACACATACCCCCACTCCTTGGGCCGTTGGCTGACCACCCCTGAGAAGGGAAGGCTGTTACAGGTAGATTCACCTCCAGGGACATACTCAGTTAACTCTTCACAGTGGTTGTCTCCATGGACAATGGAACATTGGTCACCTAGGTCCCAAAATCATGCTTTAGAGACCATTGCCCTAATTGGATCAAGTGACCAGAGAGCAAAGGCCAACTCCCTCTTCACCATCTGGACTCCTGGCTCCATCCCAGGTCTTCTTCAGTTAGAGAATGAGAGGATCAAGGAAAGG